CGACGAAGCGGCAAATGAGAGAAGCGAGGTTGCAGGCGGAGAGTGCCAGGAGAGCTCAAAGCTGGTAGCAGCTTTCAAGACTCGATACATACGCCTACGTCTACACGGTACACGATTGCCACACAATTACACGGTCATATTACGCCTCCCATCGAATGAAATAATCAAAAAGCCGACAGCGAGACGAAGAAGGGGACAATCTCGGCGCAGCTCTGCAACACGAACCCCCGCGACCTCAAGTGGCGAAGCTAGTGTCGCGGACGCATCCGTACACGAGGAAGTAGCGGATCAAGATCTCGACACCGACACAGAAGAGGATGATCAAACACGTATCACCAATGCATATCCGGGCTCGACGAACGATATCGGGTCGGTACATCAACGGCGATGGTTTCTCCAACTCGATCGGCAGAGTAGCGGGTTTAGTCCAGATGCCTCCGGCAGGGGAAGGGGGAAATGGACCGGAGGCTTCAAATTGTTCCTCGTACGCGGTCGAGACCATGAGCGAAGCGTTGTTACCGGAAGGTTAGCACGAGACGTTGAAAGCGACGAAGGAGTTGAAGATTTCGTAGGAAGGGGAGGTTGGACAGGAATCGAGCATTAGACATAATATACATTACACCGGACGTTAAAGAAGACACCTGCAACTATCTGGGGTATCAGAACGTAGTCACCACCTCCATGTTTCCCTCGACGCCCCTCATCGTTAAAGCTCCACGCTTCGACTTCTTCGCTCCGCAGGTGTACACCATGTCGAAATACCACCGATGGGCTTCGACATCCATAATTAACCAGGCCTGGTTTCCCTGGAAAAGATTGGCAGCACCAGCGAAGGTCTGGATGTCGCCAGCCGATACCGGCTGTCTACTCGGCTTGTTGATGTAGTACTCGGGACTGATGTGAACATATCCCATGGTCAACAACGGCATCTTAGGAACAGGATCGTTCCAGTGCGTGACGCGGAAGTTGCCACCACGCTGGTTGCTGATGTAGGAGCTAATCTTACTTCCTCCTATCCTGGGTGATCCGAAACTGTACAACGCGACATTGTAGCCAGCAGTGCGCATACTGGCAGCGGCGAGAGTAGCGACGGCGCCTCCCAGACTGTGGCCTGTTACGGTGATCCTGTAGCTAGGGAAGGCGGTTATTGCTTGTTGCACGGCGGGTAAGACACTATCGCGCGCATCAAGCCAGGATTGCCAAAAGCCGCGGTGGGCAGTGCAGCCTGGGCAGATGTCTGTTGTAGTGGTGCCGAAGTCGAGGTTCGTACGCCAGTCTTCGATGGTGTGAGTGCCGCGGAAGGAGACAACCACGAGTTTATTCGTATGATCGACTGCGACAAAGCCCGTCACATCGGTCATCGCGTTCTCTCTGTATGCTGTTAGCTTCCGGATCGTCGATGGCCATGCAGCACCCGCTGAAACTTGACGTCTGCAGGGTCTGGGATTACTCACCGGCTGTACTCGATGACGGTGGTAGAGTCCGCGTCTTGAACGAGAGGGCAGTTGCCAGTGGAGCACTCAATCTGATCTCCGGTGGAGTCATAGTTGTTTGAGCAATATGCTGCCGACGCATACTGCTCCATCAACTTGAAGTTGCCCAAAAGGTTTGGCGCAATACCTGTCACCCGTCAGTTACGCAACGACAGAGATGTCGCACTACCAACATACCTCGCTCCTGAACGAGTGGCGCAGCATTGCTGCCGATGGCGCCTAGCAGCACAGCAACAAAGAAAGAAGAGAAAGTAAGCATGTTGAAATGAGTGACTGTTGGAAAAGAGTGACTTGGGAGGAGAACCGCAGAACCGTCTCGCGACAATCCTAACCAAGCGATTCTCTACCTACATATAGGAACGACACAACCGACTCACTCTCATAGTTCGTAGTGTACCGCGGACGCCATCGTTTGCTTCATCACACGCGATCCAAGTCTGGACTTCCTAATGCGGAGGACTAAGCAGCCACGCTACCTACCGCTCATTCCGTAGTTCTCTGTGAATACCCAGGACGATGAAACCATTGGGACGCGTCTATATCCACATGCTTGCTTGTGGTTGAGCTTGTCACCTTAGGGAGGACGTTCTGCGATGCCATTGGTCAAGCCAAGGACGGGAAGTGTGGGGCGGCGCGTCCGCCGCGGCACGACTTGCACTTTGACTTTGACGTTGACCAGACGGTTGTTTGGATAAGATTCGTTGTGGAAGCCTCGTCACTAGTGCGCGGCGCGTCCTTTTGGTGATGGGAAGAACAGATCCGAAGACACCAGTCCGGGAAAGGAGGTGGAGGAGTCTGTGCGTGAGCTAGACACGCCACTAGCGCGTGGCGCAAAGAGGCGGGCACATCTAGGGAAGTTGAGTGAAACGATAGCATACTCTTTACTCCTCATTCTACTGCCATGCTATCACATTCAAGTGAATCTAGATTGCGAATCCCACCAGTTCTTCCGAGCAGCGAGTCGTCACAGCTTGGCAGCTACGGCATTCGCGACGCATCTCAAAGGAGATCGCAATCACAGTCGTCACGCCGTTGAAGGCTATTCTATGGCATTCCACGTGCAACAGGTTTTGACTGCACTTGCGCGCGCTTGTTTTGCAGCAAACAAAGGACTGAACATATATGACTCTGGGGGTTATTGATACAGATTTCTCGCTACACATCGTTTCCCCGCTTAATCTCCGATCGAGACTTACGACAGAACCCAACGGAGAGCCCTCAGTTCCTACAAACCGACTACCAATGCTGCGCGATTTAGTCAAGGTCGACGCGGAAATGCTCATCGCTTTCCTGGCAGCAGTTGCATTCTTCTGCTTCTTCGTGTCTGTCCTCATCCTATACGTTGGCCTCATCGCAGTCTTCTTGGGCTTGCAACATCTTTTGGCTCTTGCTGTTGACCTTCAGGGCCGGATTAATCGTATGGAACGCTATTTAGAGATAGAATATCACGTACGGCAGGCGCGCAACCCAGGCCGATGGCCAACATTCTAGGCTATGGGATCTGGTCTGGAGAGAGGCCTCAAGAAGAGATACATGCACAAGCAGGCTTTCAACTACAATGATCAAGAGTTATGCAACGTTTCAAGTTCATGTAGATCGGATTGTGGAAGCTCCGTGTCTCTGGTGTCTCAACACAGCTGTCTTTGATAGCAATTTAGGAAATTAGATCGGCCAGGCTTAGGGCCATGTATTCGAAGTGTCTGAGACAAATGTGAGTCTTGTCTGGTAGCCGTGACAGTGTTTGGTACAAAAATGCTATACTCACCGTTATCATCTCTATCTTTCACAGCAGTATTATCGCATTCTCGTTAACAGGCGTCTCCTTCAAACTTCATCACCAACTGTTCTCCTCGCTTCGGCCAGCATGAGCAACATACTAGCTTACTTCCAGCTGGGACCTCCGTCGGGATGGACAGAGTCAGTTGTTCTGCACGCAGTGCGGATCCCGTTTGCCATCGCTGTTCTCTGTCTCAGCGCGTGGCTGTACCCGTCCCTTCCAGAAAACGTCCTGTTCTTCTCGATGGGCTTGGTATGTCTCGATATTCAATTCCACATACACAGCTAACCCTGCCACGAGGCTACCTTCACAATGACAGTCTGCATCGGCTCCATCACATTCCGATTCGTGTATCCGAGTACATACAGCATAAAAGTCGATCTTGCGATTCACGTCTTAATGGGCGTACTCTGGTTAGTCGACCTTCTTCTCCTGTGCTTTCTGGGTTGGTACCGACAAGCCGACAAAGAGTATCTATTCAAACTATGGGTAGCGAAACTTGTCATGGGGACAATCGAGTGGTAAGTACAACTTTTCACGCGTATAGAGCTGCGCTGACATCTTACAGTGCTCTTTGGTTCTTTGAAGCGCTCGTTCTCGCTAGAGACTTGATGACGCCCTCACCTGACAACGAGCCCATGCCACTTCCACCACTGCCATCAGCCAGCAACTTTGATTCGCCAACATCGCCACAACAAATCGACCCGTGGTCACCAGTCTCGCCTCTCGAACCTCCTCGCTCGGGGCCGCAGCCTTTGCTTCCCGAAAGTCACAATACATACGACGATGATGCGCAGGAGTTACCGGATCCTTTCGATTTCGGCTTTTCTCGAGAAGCTTCTAGCGATAGCTCAGGTCAGCATGTAGCGGATCTGAGTCCTCAGCAAGCTCCCAGTTCCGCCTGTAGTCATGGTAGAAGGGGCGCGGTTAGTCATCTTGATCCAGTGGGATCACGGTGTGTTTCACCCAAGAAGCAGCCTGTTAAGAAGTAGGAGGGTCGTTGAGATAGGTATCAAGAAGTTGCGCGAGAAGACAGTTAGGGACACAGCGGCTCAACACAGGGGGAAGACTAAAATGAATTTGGTGCAGCTAAGGTGCATATAAGCATCCCTCTTCCTAGCGACGCGTCTAATTGTTCCTTCTCATTCCGTTCAACCCCCTATGACAACCTCACCTATACCCGCACACCCCCACCACCCCTCTTACCTATCATTCCTCCCTCTATCTAGTATAATCAAAAACAATGAACTCGGTCTGATTCGAACAGACGTCTCTGCAGTCGCAGAACCACTATCACGCTGTTACCAGCGGATGTGTCCAGCACCAACCTCTTCACTACGTCGTTACCGTCGAGTAAGAGTGCTCTCATCCACCCTAGACGGTACCACAGTTGCCTGCGACCATCGCCTTAGTCAAGGTGCACCTTGCTAAGCTGGAATCACATATATGATGCGAGCGCCTTACCACTGGGCCACGAGTTCTGGTTATATTCTAGATGAGAGGCCGAGGAATTTCAGTTCACGTGTAGTGATAGAAGAGCGAGGGTGGGAGCAGGTAAGAGAAGTAGAAATTGTAGTAAAAGCCTTATATCCTTTCGTGGTGGTACCGATACCTGGTATACTGAACATCAAGATCCCATATATGATACTGCGAAGATGACACACGCCAATGCCGTCGTTTACACATAATCCCTAGTAAACAGCATCATTCCAATCCGATCGTAACAAACATCATATTTCCATACACGTCGGCAATCTACTCTCTGGTCGCCTCGACTCCGGTCTGCCATACGTCCTCAAAAAGTGTCCTCTGGGGAAACAATCCTCCACTCTCTCCATACTACATCTAACCAGACTCCTAACCACATGCCCTCTGCTCACATGCCCCCTACCCACCCTCACCGTCTGAACATTCGACTTGACCCACAGCACCGGAAGCGCAACAGCAACACTAGCCTGAAGCGATTCCTCATCCGTAGCGAAACTGGGTGCGATGCTTGTCCGGAAACTGGTATGCGAGCTAGCCTTGCTCTTGCGCCAATGGTATCCGCGTCCGTTTCCACCCGAGACGTAGAATTCGTCGTCGTCAGAGTCGTCGCTGCATTGGCTCGTCAATTTCTTCGCTTTCCACCTCAAGTTCTGCGGTTCTTCAACGAGACTCTCTTCGCCGGTGAAGTTGGTGCAGAGTTTCTTGAGCGAAGGAAGGTTGACGGCGACAATAGCGAATTGCGTTTCGAGGGCGGCGATTATGATCATTTTGCCGAGAACCCAGGATGTGTCGATGGGTTCGTCAGATTGAGATCCCAATTCGAGGAGTGGAATGAGGCGGAAGGTGGCGATGATGACGGAGATGCTGCCGAAGGTGAGCACGCTGAGGACGGCGATCTTCTTTCGAAAGCTGATTTGGCAGTTCCAGAGCATGGCGATGGGGAGAAGGAGGATGTACATGTCTAGGCCGATGTTCTGTTGGGGGTCAAGGTTAGTTGGGTGGTCTACGGGGTGATGTACTATGGTTTATGCTTACCAAAAGACATGGTACCAGGAGGACGATGAGTTTGTTCATGCAGTAGGCGTCGGGATGGGTGCCAGGGTGTAGGATCTCATCAAAGGGCATGCATTGGATGCAAGCTAGAAGCCTAGTCTCAGATGTCAGTTCCATGGTATTGAGAGTGAGGAAACATGAGGACATACATGTTGCATCCCCATACGATAGTGTTAAGACCAAGGCCAGCGTAGACAGCATAGCTAAACTCGGCACTCTCGCGCGCAAGCCGGAGGTAAAAGAAGAGAAAGGCGGATTTCATAACCCAATGGACGGAGTAGTAGACTATCTCCTCGACAAAGAGCCACTGAGGTGTTTGGTCAGTAAAGATGCCCTTGCTAGTATGTCTCTTGCTTTGGTGCATACCTTGACGATTTCCAGTTGTTGAAGGGTATTAAGAGCGTCCATATGTCTGCGCGTAACGGTTAGTCCTGTCTTCTCCGCACAAGGTGACTATTCGGTACTTACAACCCGCATCCCCAGTAGAGGAACATATGCAAGACACCCTGCTGAGCGACACTGAAGATGAAAACCACCACAGCGAAGTAGTCATCCCGTCTCCATTTCCTCAGACTCTCATCGACGTAACGACTGTAAAACCTCAGAAAGGTCGAGGTGGTGCCCAGAAAGAAGGTAACGTAGGCCACGGCATAAGCCAGCGGTTGAAGATTAGTAGCCAGCGCCATAGTCGAAAGAAACTGGCGACGTGAATCAATCACGGAAAGGAGTGGAAGTTGGGCAGCTCAGCTCACACAGCATCAACCATCTCAGTAATGCATGGCTGTCGTATGTATCTTAAACACCTTGCCTCGCATCACTCATGCTCTGCTTTTTCCCTGCATATACGTCGAAACTGGCCTGCCGTCTAGCCTCCCCGCCGGGTGTCATCGTTAGGAGTACATTCTCACGGACGTGTCACTGTCAGGGTGAGTTCACGACACAAGTCGTAGTTGACTTTGGTCGACATAAGCAAGGCGGCTGTTTCGGTGTGGCTGTTGGGCGAGTACCGACTTCGAGGCGTCAGTAGTGCTTGCTTTTGCGCTCGAGAAGACCCGTAGACTATACTACCGCGCCGCATACGTGAGATGCGGAGCTCCGACCCACACTCCACGTTTTTCGCCTCGCCGTCGTGATCGCCGAAAGCTTGAGGCTCAATGTCCGATCCGATCAAAGCTATATACGGATAGCGAGACTGTACATATTCCAAAGAGAGACGTTACAACGTGTTGATCGGCTATAATGTCTTCAATACTTCGGACCAGTCTTTCCATCTGTTCGAGAGAGCATTGAACCGAATGTATGTGTAGCTATTCCTGTCAAAAGTCAATCAGAGGAGGTCTCTGATCTCTCGCCCATTGTCTTTGCCAAGATGCTCTATTGCTTATGCCAGATCTTGTAACGATTATGCAGTTGGGACTAGAGATGCTGAGCCGAACAAGCAACACAAGATCAGCAACGTGCGCTATGCAGAAACAGCCGCCATGCCCACTTTTCCTTCCGAAACACCAATGGGCAGATGTTTTGGCTCCGATCCCCAAAATTCCGAAGCTCATTTGGGTTGAGATGGAGACAATCGTCTTCCCAAATAGCTAAAACAGAAAACAAAATAGTCGTGATTGGTGCGCGAAAGCATAGCGTTGCTGGCTGCCGTCGCTAGAGCTTCTTCTGGAAACCGCTAGACTGAGTTGGTCTGCTGCGGAAGCTATATGGAGTCGATGCGTCCCGCTATGTGAAGCTGCCCAAAGCATACTCACAGTCGTGGGTTCGACCATGCGAAACAATGTCCAGACGCATATATCATCGGATACCGATACCAACATAGGGCTCCTAGGAAGCTGTGCTGAAGTCTATGCACACCACCGAAGTCGCATGCATCTTTATCATGTTCTATCCCACACCGAACAACGACCGAGTTATACTGCAGGTCCTGCACAGCCAGAGGAATGACGCGACAGAAGCTTCTGCCATAGCGAGCGACATCACCACCAGTCCAGACGGCGAGCCAGGGTACAGAACGTGCCGCAAATGACATAGACAACGTCTACTACTACCTCAGGCAGCTGAAGCAGAGAAAATGACAATGGAGGATTGTAAGAAATCGAAGTCGACCTTCTCAATAGGGAGGAGGCTTGACATTTTTGCGGGAGCATACTGACCGGTCACGCGTATGCCGACCTTGTGCGCTATGTGAGAGATCAGGAACAACGCCGCTGTTTAGGACGCACTTCGAGAACTGTCGTACAGTGACGAGAACGTGTACTCTGGCCACTTGGCTGTGCGACTGGGGCGTGTCTCAAGTACGAGAGACAGATTAGCGTTCAACGGTCGGTTGATCCTCCGCTCGTATTCTCCGGATCTTGTGAGCGTAGATCGCCTCACCCGCGTCGTTCGGCGTGGGCGCGCATTGCGGGGAGCCTCTTGCGTCGAGGCATATAGCACACCACCACAGCGGGGGAGGCGGATAGCGTGCAGACGCAAACCATTGACGTCGGCCTCGTGACCTCTTGACCTCTGCGGACATGGATGCCCATCGCATGAAACTGCAAGATCGGCACGGCGACGGGCCGTCCTGCACAGCGCTTGCCACTGTGGAACACGACAGGCTCTGACATGTGACAGCAAGAACAACGACTCCAGCGCTGCAGTGTCTGCGACGACGAGGAACATGACGAGTGTGTTGAGAGTCGGCTGGTAAGTGCTGCGCGTCGCTGGAAGGATAATGCCGGTGCACCAATATTGGACCAGCATCTGGCGGCAGAAGCGCATCGGGTCTTACGGCTGATGTGAGTTGTGATAGGTTGGCGCGACGTCGCTTCCCCGTACCATGGCAAGATGGCGCCTAACCGTGAGTCAACTGCAAATGCGGCCGCACGAACGGTCGCCTGGTCTGGGAATGGGTCGCTCTTGAAGGTTCGCGAAGACGAGATTATGCAGGGCCCGAAAGCGTATTTCTCTCGGGCCTAGAGGCAATCGAGAATGGAGGTGTTGGCTGCGGACTATGGCTAATGTGCCCTGGGGCAAGATGCTTGGCTGTCATTTCCCTGTGTGACACGCCGCGTCCGCGATGGGGTCGCGGGCGTGATTGGATAGATGAATGATGAATAGTCCTGCCCTTGGAGATGTGCAGCGTGGAGTGTAGGTATTGTATATGGGCCTGGCCATGTTGCTGCTAGGGCGATTGGAGCTAGGGGCGAGGTGTGGTTATTGGGGGTCCCCCATAAAGAGGGCCCCTGTCACGCCCAAGTGTGCCGTCTTGCACAGCCCCGATACTGCTATCCAGACGACTGTCGCCGTGAGCGCATTGTATTCATCGAGCAGCAGCAGAGCCGCATCGCAAACACAGGCGCAGTCGCGTCAAGACAGAGTGAGAAAACCGTGCCGCTGCAGTGAACTGGCAGTTGTTGTGGAGCTTTGGCGCTGATGACGGTGAAAGACGGCGTCTCATTTCCGTCCGCGTTAGCGAACCAGCCTCATCCCAAGCAGCGCATCCAAGCTTCGCTCCCCGTCGCCCTCGCTCCTTCCCTCGGACTCCCTCGACGATAGCGACTGCCCCAGCTGCGAGAACCGGCGACCGCTCCTTCCATCTCGCGCATCAATCTGAGCAATCGCGACCGGGTCACGCCATTGCCAGCCAGTCTGCCAGCCACCGCTCCCACCCACGAGCGAGTTCCACCACGCGACGACCCAGGGCGCCCTCAGTCCCGCCTCGAGCCTATCACTACGCCCTCGACACCTGCGCGCTGCCTGTCTGACATACTCGACGCGCAGCCATGAGCACCGAGCCCACGCAGCTCTCTGCTGATGCAACCCGCATGTCTAGCGAGAAGGCAGTAGGGCCGTCGGAGCACGCCAACGGCACCGGTATGTTTGTCGCTTACCACCACATTAACGTCGTCGAATACTTGATTACTAACACGCTGCAGCTGCCATGCAAAGCGCCATTGCCACCAACTCCTTCGCTCCAGGCCAATCCTCGTCGCAAGGCCCGTCGACTGCCGCTGCTGAAGGTGACTCGACCCAGAAGCGTTCCCTCTTGAACGTCCCGCGATCCGGTTCGCAGTCCAACGAGACTCCCAACACCGGCCTCAGCGGCGCAACCGCAGCAGACGCTGAGAGCATTGGGCGAGGCTCCAAGCATTCCAAACGAAGCTTCATGGGCAAACGACGCGCAGGCAGCACGGCGAGCAGCAAGCGCTCCCACCCGCGCGCTGCCCCCTCCGAGAAGAACGAGCAAGTGCCCCCAATGCCTGCCACGGCCAACCGTCCGGCATCAACACGGAGCAAGACGAAGAAATCTGGTGGCCTGTTGTCTTGTCTGCCCTGCTTTGCACCCAAGGAGTCCCGCACAACCGACGATGCTACACCTTTGGAGAATGTCAAGCAGGCCCAGAAGGTGCCCGCTGGACGCACTTCCCAGTCAACACCCATCAAGAAACAGGAACCCACTGTCGCGGAATCGAGCAACACTGACTCGAAAGACCCACTTGATGAGAAGACGGGAAATGACACATTAGGTTCAGGTCTCGCCGACAAGCCCAACCATGGTGATGGCACAACCGAGCAGGCGTCAGTCGGAGACCAACCCCAGGTCGTGACAAGAAGCCCATCCCAGAAGCAGCCAACAGACACAGTTTCCCCGCCCCAGCCCGGCACCCTGCAGACTGGTCACCCCCAGATAAGCATCACAAACCCTACTCCCACCGCTACTCCGGTACTTCCTCGGCCGTCAGCAGAGCAAGAGCGCATAATACAGGATCAGACCGAGGAGCAGAAGCAGATCGACAACGACATTGAGATGAAAGATGTGCCGCTATCGACCAATGATGTTCACCAAGAGGGAGAGGAGACAAGCGCAGAGGCCGAGGCTGAGCACCCCAAGGTCGATCTTCCTCCACCACCCCCGCTGGCAGAGAGACAGGTCGCTGTTCAGCACCAGACCGCAGACGTTGCAGAGGCGGCAGAGCAACAGAAGTACCTTTTGGGACCCATCGCACCCAGGTTCCAAGGAAAGAAGTGTCTGGTACTCGACCTGGATGAGACTTTAGTCCACAGCAGCTTTAAGGTACGTTCCACTGCCGCTGTATTTGCTTCGATTTGCTAACGCAGCCAGATTCTGCACCAAGCCGACTTCACCATCCCTGTCGAGATTGAAGGCCAATACCACAACGTGTATGTCATCAAGCGACCAGGCGTCGACCAGTTTATGAAGAGGGTTGGCGAGCTCTACGAGGTCGTCGTGTTCACCGCGTCCGTCTCAAAGGTAAGCACACGATGGACTCACAAATACATGCTTCATACTGACGATACTAGTACGGTGACCCCCTTCTCGACCAACTTGACATCCACGGCGTTGTTCACCACCGGCTATTCCGCGAAAGTTGCTACAACCACCAGGGCAACTACGTCAAGGTATGATTGCCAATGTTGTCTCCGCTTGCTCAATGCTAACCTATCACAGGATCTTTCACAGATCGGCC